AGCATATTTATAATCAGCATGAAAATTTACATAGGAAGTGACCTTTTCGCTGAAAACAATCCTTATGATATAGTATTGACAATAGTTATAACAATGCATTTTTTTCACAACTTTGGAGTCGCTTTTCCCAGTCAAATTGCATTGACCAAAAACGAAAATTTCAGGAATGGTAGAGCTAGGTGTGCTGATGAAGTTCCACTACATGACAGGTTTTGGGAATCCCATAGTTGTTCGTGAGGGGGGTTCAAAGTTGGGAAAAAATCGAAAGTAGGGCTCAAAGATGGCTTTGCCATTTGGTTCAGAAACAAGCTGGAGATCTGCAAATTTCAGCATTAGATAGAGGACAATTAGACGATTCAAGAGCACTAATAAAAGTTAAAATTTGATTTGGGCTTCATAGAGATATTTGAGTCCAAAAAACGCGAAAAATTAGGATTTCCTATAGCAATTTCCCAAAAAACAGAACTTGGGGGAAAAAAACGTCCGCTACAAAAAATGATCAACTCAACGAGTAGTATCTATGGTAGAATTTTCGGATTTCTATCATTTGAAATAGAAAAGCTAGCCATGGTCCAGTTTTGCTAGGAAAACCTACCTTGGCCCCCTCCTTCGGACCCCTTCCCAAGATTTTAAAATTTTTTTGCCCCTACAGCTATGCTTAGGGTTACTAGTCCTACAAATTCAGAAAGTTTCATTCCATTCGGTTAGAGTCGATGTAAACTCTGGTACGTTCTCGAAAGAATTACCCAATATATATAGTAACTCTATTTTGGACTCAGTTACAACATTTTTTCAGATAAACTTTAATTCGAACTAAAAAAAATAAATAAAAAATGGAAAATGAATTCGATTGATACTATATCAAAATAAGGACTATTTTGGGAATAGATCCAAAGACAATTCACGAGGAACTCACAACGGCTTTGGGACCCAATGCTCCATCATATTCAACAGTTGCAAGATGGGCAAAGCGTTTCCGTGAAGGGCGAGAAGATTTCAATGATGAACCTGGACCTGGTCGTCCAATATCCGAACTTACAGATACAAATATTGAATTGGTACAACAGGTTATCAACAACGATCCACATTCAACTTATGATGATATTATAGCTGAGACATTTCTCTCTCGTGGCACAATAGAACGAATTATCCATGACCATCTCAAGATGAGAAAAGTTACATCACGTTGGGTGCCCATCATCTTAATGATGAGCAAAAGCAAGAACGAGTTCGACTTTGCGGTGAAAATTTGGCAAAATTTCGTAGTGGTTCCTGGCGATTATGTGATATTATTACAGATGATGAGACATGGATTTACCATAGGCAGATTGGTCACAAGTCAACAAACAAAAGCTGGGTTGGCGAAAGTGAATCACCAACGACTATGGTTCGTCGAAGAAGATTTGAACCAAAAAATTTATTTTCTATATTTTTTAAATCAAATGGTCCTGTTCTTATACATTGTGTCGATAAAGGCAAGACTGTAGATCACAACTATTATATAGAAAATTGCCTTAAGCCTGTTGTCAAAGAAATATGGAAACAAAGAAAGTCATCGGGTACAAATGGCATAAAATTGCTTCACGACAATGCTCCACCCCACACTCATTCCGATGTTATTAATTATTTAACACAAGAAGGTATCAATATAATGCCGCATCCACCATATTCACCTGACCTTGCACCATGTGATTACTGGCTAAATGATTACATCAAACGTAATTTAACTGACCAAGCAAATGAGAAATCATTGACTCGTGCAATAACCAAGATAGTGAAAAATATTCCAGAAGAAGAGTTTAAAAAAACTTTTGACAAATTGTTGGAAAGAATGGAACTTTTTTTAACTAATCATGGCAACTATTTTGAACATTTAATAAAATAAAACCTGAACTTTCTCTTTCTCTTTATATTTTTTTGAAAGAATCTTAGAACTTTTGGTCAGCCCTAAGTATATTTGTGTAAGCTGTACGAACGATGCTAAAACACATTACTTCGGCTTTTCTAAAATTCGACGTTAAAAGTGTAACTCTTATCTATTTTTCTTACCCCTCGAATACAGTCATGTAAAGTACTGTAAATAATACTGAGGGCTAATCATGACATACTCATTATTACTGTGTAAATTCTTCATTTCTTATCTTCTACTGCCTCTAATTACCTCCTTAATTTAGTAAAGTTTTACGGCTGAATTTTATGAGCAGCTTAACGTTTCTAGTTTTATCAAATTATTTTCTAATATTCCCCATCTCTGTGCGTCCTACGATGATACTAAAGATTGTTGTCTGAATGAGGATAACAGAAAACGGATGAAAAGAAGATGAGAAAATCCGACTTGAATGTAAAAGTAAGCCCTATATAATACTAAAACAGCTGCATTTGGACCGTTTATCGGCCAACTGGAGACCTGTGATTTCTTACGACACCGCCTTCTGTAATGTGATTAAAACTAAATGCTTTCCGCAAAACTATTGTCACATATCAGTGCTTGACATACACACTAGGCAGTGATCGAGAAACAGTCTCTAAACCGATCATTTGGAATAGCGTTGTTCTTACTTTGTTACGAAGTACAGAACGCTGTCTACACAAAAGACAGGTGATTGCACCGCTTACTAAACGATATGATGAATTATAATATCGATAGACATTATGCAATCATACAGGGAGTTGTTTTTTTTTCTTGCTTAGTCATCTCTGGAAAAAAGTCAGTTGCATGATCCAGAGGACTACGTAGAGACGTTCTGAAAACGATAGATAGTTCTCTAGGTGAAGAATGTGGACCATTAAGATATATCAAATGATTATTTGTTCATTAAAACATAGAAGATACGTGAGAGAATCCAAAATTTCAATGTAATCAACAGTATAAGAAGGAATATTAAAATTTATTCATTGATTGTTGAAACGATTCGGAGTTTTCACAATAAGAAGAAAGACGAACCGCTAATTAATTACTCCTCTACAATTATTAGATGCTTCTTTATTAGATTTACTGCCTATTATCTTTTATATGGGGTATTCTCGTTTCGTCGACAAAGCGGCCACTTCAAAGAATATAGATCAGAGAATATCAGAGGCGGGAGGGGCGGTGTGAGAGTGAGTTGTCGACGAAACAAGAATACTTCCTTTTATATATATGTCTAAAAGAGGTTTTACTTTGCTGTTGTGCTACCTAAACACAGCCTCAAAAGTGTGTGAGTGATATTTTTCTTACTAATCGCTACTGTGAAAAGTTACTCCTTAAGCATGTGTCGTAATGTTCTCACTTCCCAGTGGCTGTCAATATTGTAACTTGTACGTAGCGCAATTGAGATCTAGTTTAAGCTTGCGTTTGATACACGGATACCTAGGTCATTAAAATTTTCTTTAGAGAGACCAGTGAAATTATATTAATTTCACTGGATACTGTAGAAGGATTATCAAAGTCAAAACCATTCTTTGAGTACAATGCATACCGAAATTTTTGAAGACTAATCAGTTACGTTAGATGATGTTAAGGAAACCTCTCTTTCTGTAATTTGGTCCATGGATTCGGTTGTAATGCGAGAGTGTTCAACATGTTTCGAACAATGCTGATTATCATTAGTATGACAATAAACAGAGGCTAAAAGAGCAGTTAAGTGAAAAAAGAATTTTTTTAAGTCACATAAACGAAACGCAAAGTATAGATCACACACCAACACACAAACACTGCGTAGAAAGATTGTAATGCACTCATATATAATGTCAGAGAAGTATCAGTGACGTTAACGGATAAGGTCGACAGAAAGGTCGTAACACAAACACCCCTTGTAACGTAGCATTTCCGATTGGGAAAATAGAGGTCCGTTATACCCTATCAGACTTTCCCACGTATAAGTCAACTAAAACTACAAGTTATTCGTATGTCAGACTACCTAATAAGGAAAGAGGTCTATTGAAACGAGATCGTATATATGATGAAGTATATAATGATGATTCATTTGTACAAGCTAAAAGTGAACGCAATGAACAACACCCAGACAACGAGACAACTTTTTACTTTGATAGAATATTGTTTTCAACACGTACAGGAATCTATTTTTTTCTGATTGGCAGCAAATTTACGTAGAACTCACTTTTTGATAGACTTTTTCAATTTTTTCTAAAAAAAAATACTGCCATGAGACTCAGCAGGGTTGATTACCCATAGTCTATCCGTCTTCAAGGCTACCAATAGTCATCGAGTACCAGTTCTTGGCCTTGTAATTCAATACAGCGCCCGAACCGCGGAAAATCTAGAGCTCACTTAACTTCCATTTTGAACAGGACTCTCCGAGCTATGAGTCCCAGGAAAAAGTCACTACAGTCTTACTAGAAAATGTTTATAGAAAACAAAAATCCGTGTTTATAGAAACCCTAGGTTTTCGATAAAACACCGTTTCCAGAAGTTGCTTAACACAACATAAAATTTTTTCATAATAATTTTTAGATAGAAAAAAGTACGCTCTACAAACCTATATGGTTATTTGACTTTAATATCTAAGGCTGTTCTAAGAAAAAGGTGTCCCGTAAACCCCAGTACTCAAAAACCGACTTTCTGGATTTCTTTTATAAAGTACCATGACCGGAAAAATTGATCAATGCCATTAGGTTCAGCATCGTCAAAGTCCCTAAAAGCCAGTTTCCACGAACCTAGCTTCACTATTACACAAGATAGTCAAAGTAAAAAGTTGTCTCGTTGTCTGGGCGTTGTTCATAGCGTTCACTTTTAGCTTGTACAAATGAATCATCATTATATACTTCATCATATATACGATCTCGTTTCAATAGACCTCTTTCCTTATTAGGTAGTCTGACATAC